ACTCTTTGCTGCTTTATTGTCTATAAAGGTTTAAAGGTTTTATCTGTCTACTGAAAATAATTATAGAAATGTTCTTCTGTTGGCTTTAGTGGAGAACGTTATTCCCTTAGGATACCGAGGAATGTTCTTCTCGCCTATGTTTTAGGCATTGTAACGGAAACAAATTTTGAGCAGAAAATCTAAGTGTTCTTTTCTTTATTGTTTATGCCAGTTTTTAGCATCTTGTGCTTTCATAAGTTTGCCAGTATAGAAGCTTTTAGTATGAAAGACACAGAGAAAACACTTTTGAAAACTCAAATTTTCCACTGCAACCTCTCTTTTTGAGGATATCTTTAAGACCATAATTTTCTTATTAGCACGTTACTAAGTTGTTTTCTTTTTTGAGAAAGAAGATAATACTCTGCCCAAGTAAAACTCCTTTTTTATAGGCTTGCATTTTGCTTTCTTTAACTAAACACCCACTGCAGACACTGAACAGATACAAACCTTCCCAGATGGTACTTAAGATAGTTTGGTTTTCAACTTTCTCAATTCTGTAATGATTTCATTTTCATGTTTAGCTCTGAAGAACAGCGTTAATATTAAACTCTCTGTTTTAATTAATTAAATCACACTTACAATATAAAAATAGGCAAAACCTGTTCCTCCTTAACTTCAAGTACGTTTAAAGTATTGTCATTTAAAAGAGTGAATGTTTCCAAAATAGGTAAGGAAAAAGATTATGCTGCATAAATAGTTACCAGATGCCTTTCAGTCTCTTTGAATTTCTGAAGGCATCAGCTCTGAGAAATATTTTTAATGTTGTGGTTTTTTTTTTTTCCTCAGTAGTTGCCAAAAGATGAGAAAGTATAGGTGTTTGGAAACCTCTGTCTCTTCTTTGTCTATTTTTATGTGACTGGTTTTTTACTTAGCTGTAGTACTATTTTCTCTGTATAAAGGCTTTGCAAGACTTAACATAAACGTTGAATTAGTTGTCATCCATAGATACCAGATTTAATGCTTGTTTTCTTTTTGTGAATTATCTATGGAATGTGTCTTTAGAATTACATCTCCTGAATTTGTACTTTCTGAAAAGATAACTGAGTCAGCATACAATGTGTTTAGCACTAATAACACAAAAACACCTTTCAGGGGTCAGATTGCAGGTTCATCTGATCCTTCATCCTGTTTTAAGAGTGATCTCGTGGGTACTGAGGAAAAGCTTACAAGCAAAACTAATGTAGAATGATATTTCCTGTACTATATCATTCCAGAGTTTGGGTTTGTGGCTTGCAGAGAGGATATCTGCACTCTCTGACCTTTGATGGGTATTTCTTCCATGATTTTTATGGCACAGGTCTTCCATAATGTGTTGCACACTGAATAAAATAAATATAATAAAGCAACAATTTAAGAATGCCAAGTCAGGCACTCTAGGATAAGAAATGCCAGAAGCAACAATACCACATAGATCACTTCATGCCTTTCACTAAATTTAAAGCATCTGCAAAAATGATCCTTTGTAGTTGTTTATATAGTGTGATGACTTTTTTTGTCTTCGTGACAAATGAGGAAGATTCTTGTTAGGAGACTAAACAGACATTCTTTCCAGATACCGGATTGTTCTCATAGCTCTTTTTGGAATCCTTTCCTCTCGTAGCATCTGTTTTGAAGAGAAGAGCAGAGCTGTGTGTTATTCTGTACTGTAAATCGGTGAAACTAGTATTGGCAGCAATATTATCTCTGTCTTCCTGTCCAATACAAGCCTTTGGTAGATAAAAGAGAATGTTTTCATCCTTCTTTCCAATGGTGCTCTGAGAGCTCAGGTGCTTTTGATGAGTAATTAGATGCTTTGGAACTGTGATCATCAATTTTTGCCATAAAATGCAAAGTCCTCTAAAGTTCAGTGGCTTGTTCAAGCAGTGGCAATGTCTGACATTCCCACTTTGTGGAAGTATCATCTGGAATTTGGCTGGGTTAAAATACATAGATCTTAGAAGGTGCATTTGGTCTATGTAAGCAAGTCATTCCCAATCTTAATTATTATATAAAGGGCCCAAACATTCATGGGATGTTTGGTCAGCAGTGACTTACATCCTCCTATGCTGTTGGTAAAGATAATAAAATGCCTTAAACCAAGCATATGGGTTGCTTTAGAACTCTTTTTTAGAAAGATTCTACAAGCTGTTATTTCTGCATTAAGAACATTTTAGATCTGCTAATTAAATGGATTAAAATCAAGTTAGTATAGTTTTTGTACAGGATCTCTCCCTTACCCACAACCCTAAAGCAGTATTTTTTGGGACAAAGTCCAAATGCCTTACCATTTCTTTTGGTACTCTTACTGAACCATATAAACCCAGTAAATTTACGTAGTGTTGGTATGTGGCAGAGACTATCCTCTTGTATCAATTTGATTTCCATGTAAAATTTCAAAATCTAGAATGTAAGGGTTAAAATCTCATGATGAAAACATTTATTACACATTTTAAAATTATCTTTAAAAGTCAGTCCCCAAACCCATCATGTATAGCATTGGGCAAAAAAAACCAAACAAAAGGCATCCAAGAGCATTTTGTTGTGATTTTTCAAATTCATCAAATGAAAGCAGAGAGCTGTAATAAAAGCTGTCAGACTGTTTTAACTGCAGATTTTGTTGCTACTTGCATTGCTTACTATGCTGTGACAGATAGTGTTTATAGTTTTCAAACAGTTCTGCGGTACTGTTTTTGCCAAGTGATAACTGTTTATACGTGGAGAAATGTGGGCTCCTCTATTCCATCTGAAATGATTTTTATCAGTTAATGGTATGATTCTTGTTCGGTGTGCCTGAGAATATCCTTCTGCGTTCTCTGGCCTCCAACTTAAAAGCTCTCTTAAGCCAAGGAGTCTTGACTCTAATACTTCCTGAAATAGCACTTATGTTCCTTTTTCTATCCACGAAGACTGAACTGGTGTTTTCTTCTGTCACTGCTGAGCTTTTATTGGAAAGATATGTGACCTACCCTGGCACAGTCCTGTTCTCTGTGGTCTCTGACCCAAAGACAAACTTCTGCTGACAGTTTATACCTTTTGTATAATATCCTTTCCTTGATGGTTCTCTTGATGGAGAAGAGTGAATGCAATTGGAGTAAAGACCCAACAGGAGAATGTATGATGGAGTAACAGAAGCTGAAGATTTATGGAATGGCAACAGACTGAGTGGAATAAAGATAGAGGAAAAGGTTAACTTTCCTTGAAGAAAACAGAAAGGACAAACCAGATATGCTTAAGATAGAGGAAAAGTTTTACCAGCAGATAAAAAAAAAAGGCAAATATGACTGGAGTAGGAACCAAACCAAAGGCCTGTTAAGGTAGTAAATAGTTTGATATAAATTGACACTTGAAAAATAATACGATAAGAATTTTCTGTTTCAAATAAATGGAATACTTGTAGTCATAGCAGTTTACGTATAGGCTTACAACCTGCTGCTGCCTAGGGACTTCCCTGTGAGTAGCTCTTGGCAGTTTAGAGCTGCTCTAGATAGTAACTTACCACTCTCTTATTTTGTTTTGTTCCATACATTCCTCTCATCAGCCGGTTGTGAGTTGGATTCTGTCCAATTTTGGCCTATTTCTGAAATTTAGTTGGATTGTTGTTTTCTATATAATGGAGGACTCTATGCAATATTTTCCTATCATTGTATTGTAAATGTAAATGAAGAAATAATATATGTGTTACAATAGATACGGACTTAATGCAGATAAGCTAACTCATCATTACTACTTGTTCAGTAGGACTTAAACCCATTGTCTTATTTGGTTGGGTATGCTGTTGGGTATTTTTTTTTCTCTCCATGAATGTCCTCAAGTCGCTAAATTTGCCAAAAGTAGGAACTAACGTTTTCTTTCACAAAAAGAAAGTGAACAAGAAGATGCTTTAAGAATAAAATAGAAGAATTTTTATTTTTTTGCCAACCATGTATCTTGAGTAATTACTAACTCAGCTACATTTGATACAGCTGTTAAATGCATTGAAGAGTGAATACTAGATATGATTTTATGGCATCAGTTTGATTGTATTTTTTCTTTTTCTTTTCTAAAAACTGCTTCTATAAATGAAAGAACTCCTGTTTCTATGCTTTTCTTTCAGTGATGCCTCTGTGACCTGTTAGAAAAGTGGCCTTTATTGAACATGCAAGTATGAGTTGTTGTTTGGGATCAAGGCACTTATCCTTTCCTAGCCTTTACACTTGCAGGATGTGCAAAGGAAAATCAGTTTTTACCAGGTGTTAAGACTTGCCTATCGGTAAAGGGTGAATGCAGGTAGCTAGATCTTCTAGTATTGTAAGCTTTGATCGAGTGCCATTTGATTACTACAGAAGTATTTCTAATCTAGGGAAGAAAAGATCCACTGCTCTGAATCTATGTCTTAGTCCCAGATGTTTAGGGCTCTAGGTGTAGTTTTGAAATCAGCTCGAGTGGAGATATTGGCAAGTCACTTAACTGGTTTGCCTTTTCTTTTCCCTTTGTAAAGTGAGGATTTTTGTCTGCTCTTTGGGCTGCTTATAAGGAAGCAAACGTAAATTCTCATTGGTTATTGAAAACATGAACAAAAAATTGTATTTTTTGCATGTTTGCTTGAGGTCTCTTTTGTGTTTTTTTCCCCCCAATCAGATACAAAGAAGGTGGTGAAGCTTTGTTAGTATTGCTTCCCTCAGAAGAAAAAGGCATGGTGGAACAGCTGGCACAGAGGAAAGTACCTGTCAGTGAAATCAAGTAAGTGATTAATGTCTTATCTGTTATTCAGCCTTCTTTCTACAAGAATAACGCGTGATGAGTCTATGACAATCCTGATGGAGTCAAGTGCTTGAATTGCCTGGAGCTGTACAAACAAGGGAGATAATTTCATTTTGATAGTGTTGTAGAAAGAAAAGACCTTGAGAGGCTACCTATTCCATCCACTTTCCCAAAGGCAGGATCAGCTGCACAAACCATTCTTATCAGATGCTTGTCTAACTTGCCAATGAATATCTTCACAATTTCCCAAAGCGATCTCATGTATACTCAACAGTTCCTGCCATTAAGGTTTTTTTCTTCAAGTGTCTGATAAGCCTTGTAAGTAATTTAAGTGAAATATTTCTTTTGTCCTGTGCCAAGAATATATGGAAAATTATGTATTCTCTTACTCTTTGCAACTACTTTTTATGTAATTGAACATTATCATGCTATCTCTTTCTCTTCTTTTGCAGATTAAATAATTACAATTTCTTTAATCTGTCCTTGTATGTTTATATACCTTTTATCGTTCTCATTTCTCTTACCTCTCTTTTCTTTAGTTCTAGACTGTTTCTCCAATTTGTTGTGATCTTTCTGAATCACTTAGTTGAAGAACAGGAAATAAAAGATGTGGCTAAATGGTCATTTTACATACCAGAGAGAGTATTCCAATGGAGACCTGTAGAGATCTAATGCTATCTGTACAAAAGAGAACGGACTTTGAAAGAGTTGCAGAAGCATATAATAATACCATGTAAAAATAAAAAAGCACTTATATTTCCAATTTCTATTAAATGCAGAGTAATGGACATGTAGGAAAGACAAAACCCCTAACTGTAAAAATAATAGAAAAAACCCACACCACTAAAAAGCATCGGTGGTAATTTCTTAATTAGCAGCTATAGGTAGGAAGGAGTTCATTGTTCTTTGAGACTATCAGTCTCTAATGCTAAATCAAAAGAGGAAACAGAATGTGAAGAAAATATGGAAGCAGAATTGAAAAGCAAGCCAGAAAATGTGGCATGAACCTGACTCCATTTTGAATACTTACATAGTTCAGGTTACACCATGCCAAAAATCGTAGAGTGGAGCTAGAAGAAATCCCGAGAAGGATGACAGGGTAGAAAAATCAAGTTTCTGTACATGTGGGTATGAGCAAGGCTAGGACACTTTTACTTTGAAGAGCTGTGGTTTGAATGTGAAGATGTGGATGTCTAAGCAAAGAAGATACTAGGTTTTATGCAGAAAGTGTTTGTAGAATAATTGTTTTTGAGAAGAAATCAAAGTAGGGTGAAACTTTAAGTGGTTATTATTACCTCGTTGCTTAAACCTTCAGGTCTGTTCAAATTTAACTATACTGTGTTCTTTGAATTCTAGTGTAACGAAGGACGGTAAGAAATTGCCACGACTTACACTGTTACCTGTTTTTTGTTATCGTTTCCATATTCATTTGTGTCAAAGCTTGAGTTAAGGAATAAAGCGAACACATACTTTGGGACTTGTCATTATTAAAATCCACTAAATAAGAATCTTCATTAGCTAATCTTCATTAGCTTTTTCTATTGTAAATTCAATAGTAGGATGCATTAAAGTAAGTCAGGATAGCCTGGTCATTGCAATTTGATGTGATAGTGACTTCTAATAAACTTCTTATTTTGTTTTTACAAATGAAAAGGAGGACTTGTGTGATCAGCTATAGTTAAGGGGAAAGAAGCAAGAGCTTGGAATGATAACCACAAAATACTGTCAGTTCCTACAGAATCTTACTCTTTTATGAGTGCTCCAGTGTTCAGCTTCACTAGGCTGATTTTTCTGTTTGGTTTCCCCGAGGATTGCCAATTTTGATACCATAATTGGATGTCATCACTCCAAACATGCCACACCTGGACACAAGTTGTCATTTCTGCAAAGCAAAGAAACATGCATATAGCATTTTCCAGATTTAAGGTTTAGTTTTATGTTTTTAAAGTATTTTTGATGTATGGGATATGCCATTTCAGAGGCACTTGTGAATCGCACTTGTGAATGCAGCTTCAATGTAACAAACAGAGTACACAGCAGCCAGTGAAGTAAATGCACCTTTTCTGGTCAAACAGGGGTATCAATTCTGTGTAGAATATGCATGAACTTCAAACATAAGACCACTTTTGCTAAAAAAGCGAAAATAAGGACTAGAATGGAGTCAAACAACTCCCGAAAGTCTAATTGTGCTTAAAGCTTTCTTTTGATGTTGCTGTTTAATAAAACCCACACAACAACAAAACAAACAAAAAAAAACCCAACTGAATGTGGACAATATCAGTAAGGAAACTTAATTAAAGTCTGATATTTTCTTTTCCTTTAAGCATCATAGTGCTTTAAAAGGATCTGTTGTGTAATCACCACAGCCTAAGTAAATAGCCTCTTTTTCCAAACTTTATCTTTTTCCTTCTTAAAATGATAGTTATTAAAATCATTTATCTTATTTTGATATTCACTAAATAAATGTCTGATCTCATGGATATTATAAATATTTCACCTTTCTTTGACAGCTAAGCTTTTAACTTCTTGAGTAATGCAGTTAATTGTTTGAACAGCTTATCATAGAACATGGTAAAAAAGCCTCTTTAGCCTGTATTCATTCATACAAATCGAAATTGATATTTTTGTACCAGAATAACGATTCAATTTTAATAAGGCAAATATTTTATTTCCCCCTAATAAATGCATCTTCTATTTATAATCCAAGTTAGATGTGTCTCTGGAGAGACATCCGTGGCTGCATCTCTTAACACATTCTTGCTAATCTGATGTTACATCAGTGGACAACTCTGTTGTTTTTTTTTTTTTTTTAAACACCACCCCAAAAATTCATTCTTTTATCAAGCCAGTAGGGCATATGTATAGCAAATACGTTTCAGTAACATTCTTAAATGGAATCATCATAAGCGAATTCAGGGCTTTTATTGATAATATATTTTAATATCCTGCCCCGAGATCCAGTTTTTGAATCTGCAAAACATACCTTATTAGTATTTGTAACATCTTAATGAAGGGGAGTGCTTTTATTTAGAATTGTCTACCTAGCGTCGTTAAGGCTTAAATGGTTTAGCATCCTTAAAAAAAATTCTTGTAATTACTTGTGGATTGCAAACAGTTTCATCCTAAAAGTTTTTAACTACAAATTTTCTGAGGTTGTTTACTTCTAGCCAGTTTCCCAATTAATACAACCCTGGTGTGTTTTGTCAACTGATAAATTGTTGAAGAAGTTCCATCAACCCATGGATAATGTTCCAGGTCTTCTGTTGAAGTCTTCTGGTGGTGTTTGTGCGTATTCACCTAATTATAGATTCTCAAGAATTGATTTAACTTGTGAGTTAGAAGATAATGAGCATTACTCGCTGCCAACAGAGTTTCACTCTTCAAACTTCTGAAATTCATTCTGAAACCTTTTTGTTTCTAAAACATCACTGTCAATTAACGTATTTGTTTTGCTGTTCTTGTTAACCTGTTATCTTGCATAGGTATTGCAAGAACCAGTTTTCTTGTTACTTTCCTTGGTTTGTATTTTCTGACTTACAAACAGCTTTTAACATTTATTTCATTTAGACAGAGCTTTTAAAACAGTTCCATAATTTGAAAAGATAGAGGAGAATAACTTTTTTTGTTTCCTGAATACCTATTCAAAAGGCTAGAGTTTGGGCTGTTTTCTTAATTTTCAATTTTAAATCTAAGCTCCCTGTAGAACCTGTTAGTATACCATACCTTTCTAATCAGCACAAACTGCCAATTTCCAGGTAGTGCTTGTAATAATACATCTCTTTTTCATGGTTCAAAGAGAGCAAGAGAAAATGCAAAATATGCAATAATAAATATCATATTGTAGAGCATTCAAATATGGCAAAAAGCTACTCTGAAAGTATTAAATATTATGTACATATTTATAAGGAGTCTATAATTTCAAAGTTTTAGACACAAGCTGTAAACTGAAATTATTTTTGATAATACCTTGAGACTACTTCATCGCATCTGATTTTGTTGAGTAACAAGATAAGAGCTGCTTCCTAAGGAGTTATCGTAACAAATTTTGTGTCTAGAAAATTTTACCAAAGGAAGTGCAAGTATGTAGATACCCACAATGTAATATTGCTTTCTTTAATATTATGACAAAAATGTGGTTCTTGAAGAAAACAACCATAACAACAACAAAACACCTTTTTTTTCTGGCAGTGAAGAATACTTGGGTATGTATTGCACATGACAGTGATATAGGGAATCTATTCAAACTTGCTGCCTCCCAATTACCATCATTACTGTAGGACAGTCCATTGGTGTCACTAACCAGTGTGGTTATACACCTGTACATATCAGCTGGTGTGAGGCTGGCAACTCTGAGCAGCCTTCCTTAGGTCCCAGCTCTTCCGCCTCTCTCCAGCCTTCCAGGCTGTCCAGTGTATCCATAGGGAGCCACGTTCCAGGCTGAGAGCACAGAGCAAAACCTGCTGCTGCTTGGAAGCTGGGTGGAATATGGAAACTTTCGCTACATCACGGCAGCGAAGGTGGTGATTGCTGAGCTTTTTTGTTTAAATTCCACTTTGGAGAGAATGGGGAAGAGAGACTATCTAGTTAAAGCAGTGCTTGTATCCTGGTGTTAAAAACAGGGGAAATGAGTGGAAAGCCGAGCGTGTATTGACCAGGAAATTTGGAGAGCGCTGTCTGACCAGTTCATAAGACCAAGCAAGCTGAGTTCATATTTATATCATGGCAAGTGATATAACCGGTCAAATGTGGCCAGTTTTGCAACTGCTAGGCAGAACAACAGTTTCAAAAAGTTACGCTGCTCCTTAAATGCAAGGTTTGTACTTGCAGAGTAAGAAAAGAAAGAAACAGCCTAGTGAAAATGACAGACAATGTAATAAAATCCCCTTCTAGTTTTTGCATAGTTGGTTCTAGGTCACCGGTTCTTAGCTGTTTAGGCAAGCTTATAAATTACGATAATTCATTTAAGTGTTTAGATTTTAGGTTTGTCTCTCCAAATAGTCACATGTATATAATTATTATAAAGAGTTTTATTTGTTCAGAAAGAAATAACATGCAGACTCATTAAAACCAAAATCCAATTTAGCAATGACCAGCTTTCTTATTTTTGGAATCCCAGCATGAGACGAAACGACAGTGGGCGGTTGTCATGATACAATGTTGGAGAGGAGAGAATCCAGTATTATGACTCTTTTTTTAATATTCAGTGTTGCAAATTTACTCATCCGTTAACAAACACATAACCTCAAAATGTGCTTGGGGCACCATATTCTTGGTTGACATTGCTTAGATTTACACTAAGTATCTTGCCTTGCTTTTAACTGTAAAGCATCTTGTGTTTTGTGTCTTTTTCAAACCCTTTTCTTCCAAGTTTCAACCAAATTACTTAAAAATTTATATGCAGTCAACAAAATGTTGTTACATCTTGTCTAAGATTGTCTATTATGCTTGCAGCCCCAATGATGTATTGTCTCACAATGGTGTATTGAGTTTGGCAATGAGTCAATCCTAACTACTCTTTGAGTACACCCCCAAGGCCAGTTTGCATTTACTTAAAGATTTCATGTAGACCATATTTCCCTAGCGAGATGCTTTGCTGACATCAAGACATGACATCTGCTGTTTCTTTCCTATTCCTAAAGCCCACTAATGCTGCTATGAAGGATAATCAAACTGATTAGTCATGTTTTGCTTCTGACTAAGCTATGTTGGCCATTATGTGTTTGCTTATTTTCTTTAGGTGCTTATGAATTGTTTTTTCGGTATCAAGAAAAAGGTTAATTGTTCAACTTCTCTTTTTTGTCCTCTTTGAAGATGACCACTATGGTTACCTGCCTTGTCTCCTAGATTTTTATCTATCTCAGATGAGTTCTCAAGAACAGGTACAACTATGACTCAAAGTGCTCTGACTTTCTCTCTAGATGGTATGGAGCAAATTGCTTTTGACGCAGCTGATTTATCTAAGTACCTGTTATCCTGTGATTTGTGATTCTGGTGTGAGCTTGGACTGTGCTGTAGCTGTCTGATTGCAGCTGCCACTTTGAGTGAAGACAAGGGAAAAAAGACACTGGCTAGTTTAAGTGTCTTGAGGTCATCTTTTAATAGCTTTCCCATAACTTAACAGCAATCCAACATTTCTCTGGGCTGTCTTACTATTGTTGTTCGTGTTAACTTTTTTTTTTTTGTTATTCATGCTATCCCTTCTTTACTTTTTGTATCTCATTTTGTGCTTGGATTTCTTATTTTAAAGCACTGTATTTGTGCTGGTTTTATACTTGTCTCCAGTTCTACTTTAAGCTTTCTTCTTGAGTTTCAGGTCATTGTAAACACATTGATCTCATCTAACTAGCCTTTTCACTCTTCCTCCTGTATTTCCTCTGCAGTGAGGTAGTATACTTTGTGTTTGTACCTTCTAATACAATTCGGTATTAAGCAAGACACTGCTTTTATTTTGCTATTCTACCATTTTTCCTTTGTTATGATCATAGATATTTTCATTGTCACCTTCTCAATCTTGTTTTATAGAATAAAATCTAGAAGAGCCTTCTTTCTGTTTACTTTTTCTATCTTTGGTATCTTGTGTGCATTCCATCCTGCATTGCATTTCAAAGACTTGCATTTCAAAGGTCAGTTTGTCCCCTACTGAGTTTTTCGTGCCTCTTCTTTTCTCTCTTATGTCTTTATACTTTTGGAGCAAATTATGCGCTGGCTTGAAACTGGAACTCGGCTTTTTGATTTTTCACTAAAACTGTAGCTAAATAGCTCTTGTGTGCACTATAGTCTTCCACTGGCTGTATCTGACAGAGATACGAAATTGAAAAGGTGAAGGCATAAAGCTTGATGTCTTTATAAATTAAAGTATTCCCTGGTAATACCCTCCAACCCCTTGCTCAGTTGCTGCATTCATATTTAGTAAGAATAATAGATGATCATAATGGCTTATATTACAAAAAATGACTATAAAATGTTTACTAATCAGAGTTATGTTTTCTAGACTGACTTAATGCTGTGTGAAAAAGCATGATTTTGATTCTTTTTTTTTTTTTTCTTGACTTCCTTCAGCAAAGGCTGTGTTTTGTTGTACAGTATGGGATGATAGGGCACACAGCAGCAAGAACCAGAGTGAGAAGTCTGGTAGTTGTGCATCTCTTTTTGACCTCTTACTTGAGGGGTACCCTCCTACCGTGCTTGGTGGGTTGTATGATATCCTTGGGTGGCACTAGGAGATCAAAGCCAGAAGTAGATAAGAAAAGATCTAGGCAAATAAACCTGGAATAGTGTAAGTATCACTGGAATAAGTGTAAAAATCCAGAGTCTGGGAGAGGACTTGCATAACTTCTTACTAGGTTTAATGGCATTTTCTATAGTACAGTCACTGTTCTTTATTCACCTGATCAATAACTTGCGGAGCTCTTAAATCTGTTTAATCTTAATGTCCTTTATTTTTACTCATCTGGCTGTAAGACAGAAGTACTTAAATTTTGGTATTCCCAGGGCAATAGATCTTATTTACGCTTTCAAAAATGCTGAGAATTTCCTTATAAAGATTGCTATCTCAGTATAAAGTAGGACTATAATTCATTATGCTTCTTCTATATTTTTTCTCAGCATTTTTATAAATCCAAGAAGTTCTTTACTGCTGATCTTGGCTTTGCTTTGGAAGAAGTTTCACCACCTTCATTGAAAACTCTGGATAAAAAGTCTGAGCTCCCATTTGTCTTTTCTGTATTATTCGTTTGAGGAGTATATGCTTCATCCTCAATATGGTTCCATTCTAAGGTTGTTCAGAGTGGTAGTAGCTTTATGCATATGAAAGCAATGCAAAAGACGTGAAGGTACTCCTGAGAAACCTAATAAGTGCTTATTTTCCCGTGTTCTAATAATTAAAGCTAACTTACTTTTTTTTTTTTTTTTAAATTAGAATTAATCCTGAAAAACTTACAGACATCCAAAAGAGGATGCAAGCTTTCTTAGCTCAAGATCAGGAGTTAAAAGACAAAGCTCAAAGGGTAAGTCATCTGCTACACTATAGTTCTTGAGGATGCTAGTCGAATAGAACTGCTGTTGGAATAACTGACCTGCTTGTATGTCCCCTAGCAGCAGTGTTTGGAACTGCTAAATTGTTCTGATTTTTAAGCTTTAAAACGTGGCATCAGTAGAAACAATAATCGTGTATTAGCAGTTGATGGTAAGTATGCCTGTATAGCCTGTGTGAGTTGATTCTCAACACGGGCTCATGACCCTGATGCCCGAAGAGCCAACCTGCTGTTGTGGGTGGGTACATATTTATTTTAGTGTTTTGGGTATGAATTTAATTTTTTATTTAGTCGTCACTGCTTCTCATCTGTTTGAGGGTTTTTACTGTTTTGTTTGGGTCTTTCCCAGCTGTTTCGAGTCCGGAACCTGGGGAGGAGTAATCCCATACACCAGTACAGGCTGGGACCAAATGGCTGGAGAGCAACTTTGCAGAAAAGGACCTGGGGCAACAGGTTGTCCTAGTGGACAACAGGCTGAACATGAGCCAACAATGTGCCTTTGCAGCAAAGAAGGTCAAGCACATTCTGGGCGGCATTAGGCACAGCGCTGCTGACAGGTCAAGGGAGGTGATCCTTCCCTTTCCCTCTACTCAGCCCTGGTGAGACACATCTGGAGCGCAGAGCTTGATTCTGGGCTTCCAGTACAAGAAAGACATGGACATATTGGAGGCAAGACCAATGAAGAACCACAAAGATGATTGAGCACTGGGAGTACCTCCTGTATTAGGAGAGAAGTATAAATTAGATGGGGGCAGAGTCTTCTGACTGGTGCCCAGTGACCGGAGAGGAGGCAATGGGCACAAATTTATAAACAAAAAACTCCATTTAAACTCAAGAAAAAAACTTCTATTGTGAGGGTGGTTGAACACTAGAACAAGTTGCACAGAGAGGCTGTGCAGTTTCCGTTATTGGATATTAAAAACTGGGTGTGTTCCTGAGCAGCCTGCTCTAGCTGACCTTGCTTTGAGCAGGGATTTGGACTACCTGATCTCTGGAGGTTCCTTTCAACTTCAACTATTCTGTGATTCTGTAAAGCATAAAGCTGTTAAATCAGTACAAGTATTTTTTTTTTCATCATGTATCTTTGGCAGCACGATGGAGAACAGGACTGTGTACCCTTCTGATTGAAGTTCTTCCTGAGAGGACTTTTCTTGGGGAGCTGATAGAACATTCTGAAATATCAAAAGAGGTTACTGAAAAGTGGCAGATCTCATTCTTTGGCTTAAAAAGTTCAAAATATGAAAATATGTAGGCTTCACATGCTCACTTTCTTAATGAATTTTTATTGTTGTATCTCCTGAATATATATGACAGTTTGTCCTTTCTCAGTGGTAAAATCCAATGCATTGAATAAAGCATTTTAACTGTCATTTGGATTTAAAAGAGAAGCAAAATAGCTTAGAATAGCTCTTCCAGATAAGATGGAGAAGTGTGTAAATGGGACTATGAATGTGATTTCTTTGCTGTTCTGATTAATGTTGGGAGACTTCATGAACAATATGTGAATTTCACCAAGATTTTAGCAGATTTGGGGAAGGTAGGAAAACTTAAAATAACTAGGTAGGTTCCCGGACTAGAGCGAGCTAGTTGTAAAAGATACTTTCCATGGAAGATGGCCTGGGCCTGGCATCACGTTGCCTCTTCTTGCCATGACTAGACATGTTTACTGATCTTTCCCTGGTTTTATAATATCTTTAGACTGTGAACTTTTTGGGATAGAGCTTACTACTTGTTATCGAAGCGCTGCAATGTGATAGTTTTCCAAGGTTAGTTGGTTTGTTTGTTTTTAAACTGCATGGGTATCATGAGCCTATGAATTCTGTAGTTTTACCAGGTGTCTTCCAAACTATGCAAAATCAGGAGTTCAAATTGAGATGCAGGGAAACAAGATGGTTAGAAGAAAAATAAGAAAATCTTTCAGGTCACTTTTTTGTTAATACATATAGGTCAAATTTAAAGAGCACTACCAAAGGCCAAATGATCAGTAATTCATAAATGCCAAAGTCTGAGAAATACAAGTTCTACCCAAGGAAAAGATTGCAGAAATTCTGGGTTAGCGTAAATAACTTTTTATTTGTCTGAGCTAGCATGGGGATTTATGACACCTGAAGACATTCTGGTAAACCTGAGTGATAGGATAAAATGAAAAAGGGATCCTGAATGCTTAAAGATAGACTAAGAGTTGTAGCCTTTCTGCTGAACTCAGATGTAAAATGAGGCAAGTTGCAATATTTAAAACTCTTAAGGTGAGGTTCATCTCACCTAACTTTAGATGTCCTATGTGAGCTAGTCTGCTAGTCTGCCTGAGCTTTCATTTATAGCTGGTAAAAGAAGAATAGGCACTTCTAGTATGCATCCTGACATAGATACCTTAAAAACCCTTTGGGATGGATGAATGGTGGTTTCTTTGCACTGCAGAGGTAGCCTGCGTGACGTGACCTAGCTTGGATGCCTGCAGTAAAGACACTTACTGGGTCAGAGGAGTGTCGTTCTTACTTTCCTAAACAGGGAGTCTTAAATCAAAGTGCCTGAGGAAGTCAGTGGGAGCTTTGTGAATAAAATGTCTAAGGCAATGTTCAAGGGACTGCTTTTAAAACTATTTTTGGTGTTTAGGTATCCCAGGTTTTTGTAGTGCACAAAGTGTTACTTGTAGCATGTGGAATGTCAGCATCAGCTTCATCCTGACGTTACACAGGCCAGATGTACTGGTGACATATTACGAGCATCTGCAACTGCCAGAGGAAGTTGCAGTTACCACCAATTTGTATCAGAAGTGACAGAGCAGCTGGTTGGGGGAGGACAAGAGTAGGAAGCCAGCATCATCTTACTTGGAATGAAAATACTAACAAACCTCTCTGTTTCTGGCTTTGGCTTTTTAAGATCTCTTAAAAGGCAGAGAGAGATTCTGAATTGGGCAAAAGAAAATAATAAAGTTTCAAAATAGCACAAGAATAAAATCAAACATGGCCTGTCTGTCAATGTTACAGATAAAAAATTAATTTATTAATTTTTTTTTTTTAATTGCCATTTAATTACCCTTTCAAGCCATTTTTATTGCAATTTTTCATTTATGGGTAGCAGTGCAGTGTCATCTTGCAGACAAACTGTATATACATTCAGTTTTTGAAAATCTTGAAGTATGGACAAGTGGTTTATCATAAAAGTGTCCCTCCTTAATAAGATTCAAGTATGAGTGTTCAGACATACTATGCAAATATGCCCCAGTAGTCTTACATATCAATGTGAATAAAACAATAAAAATAATGCAAATGAAATCCTGACTTTGGATCCTTATCTGGAATGCTGGATTTCTCAAAGGCACGGCCTTGTGCTGTCTACCCTGTCTGTTGCAAGCTGCCAAATTCTTGACATTTGTAAGAAATAAATTCCCTACCTGAATGGATCAGATAGCAGTGAAACAGCATAGCTATGCACAGAAGTTCAAGTAGGATGTACTTTACTGTGTTGAGGGCAAGAGGTCTAAGCGACTGTGTCCTCCTCTAAGCTTGTTGATTTACTTCAAGATGCTTTTACTTTGGTTTTTTTTTTAAAAAAAAAAAAAGAAAAAGGAAAAAAGAACAAAGAAAATTCTTGATTGCTAATTGCTTCAGCAAACTTTATGGTTCATTTGATAGGACGTGATTTCTCTGCTGTTGCTTGGAAAGAGAGGGTGAATCAGATTGGGGCTCCTTTGAAACCTTTGCAGTTCCTCTCATGGACTAATGCTGCTTTTTGGCATTTCTTGTAATTTTAATATTTAATATGTCAATTCATTCAGTTCTGAAAATCAGTTTTAAAAAAAATGTTTTTCTTGCTAGTTTGAATGTTATTGCGTACTGGGACACTGAAGTGATGTCTGTCCATTAAATTCTTCATCGCACCCAGAGGGACGTGCAGGGTGTTACAGCCTGAGATTCCAGTCACGCCCTGTTACTTTGAATTCTGTCAAAACAGCACATACATTGAATTGTGTGTGTTTTAATATTTAAAACAGTTATCCAAGAAATCAATAAATCAAAATCTAAATGTAGCTAATTAGTAGAGCATAGTACTTTTTGTCTAATGTATTTCCAGTACTTGTACAGTAGTCTCAGGTTGTTTTGGGGGCCTTTAGCTACTATTGCAATAGAGCTATAAGATATTTCTGATGCCCAACATTAACATTTTCCATAATGGTATAAATTAATTCATCTAATAATATTTTTGTAAAGTTTAGTTATTAAAAAAAACCCTTGAAAGTGATACCAAAACAGCAGAAATGGCAGTGGACAACAGCAATTGATAGAAGAGCAGGAAAAAAGTTCACACTGACTAAACTTGTTCTCCCTCAGCTGTCCAGTGTGTGTGTGCAGAGTGACCAAGTCTTAGGAGAATTGAATAAAATCCAAGTGAGATGACAATATTTTAGAAGGAGGTTGAAGTGAAGGCATTGAAATCAAATCAAAATCAAAGAAGTCAGTTGGTCTTTCTGTACTGCATTTCTCTTCTTGTAAAGTAGAACAACTCTTCTCTTCTCTAGTTTGGGTGTAAACTGTTGGAGTAGGGAACGTCTTTTGCTGGAAGTGTTCACAATGCCTAAAATAATAGAGAATGAGGTCAGCTGAAGACTTTAATCATCATTATATTACTACTGAATGATCTTTGAAGCCTCTTGCCTAAATTAGATGCCCATTTCTTTGAACGTAGAGCAATACCATCCTGCATACAGTCCATAACAAACTTTAAAAATTGTTTCGAGTCTCAGCGGGCTGAACCCTGTTGACAGCTGATAAACGTGAGTTAGAACATGGGGCATTTGGTTGGTCGTTCATTCTTGGTTATTGTAGGGCTTGATACATGTGCAAAAGGTGTGTTCTTTCTGCCCCTTATCTATAATTTATTAATTTCTAGACCGTTGTACCAAAGAAATACTAATGAAGTAAGTAGATGGCTTTATAGGTTATCCAAAAGGCAGAATGAGATTTCTACCCTGTGGCATGTAGTGACTCATGTAGATCTTCAGATCTGCAACTCTCAGATTCACAGAAAAGATACTTCTTGTTTAAACTGCTTTTTTCCGTATGTCACTACAGAGGAAGCAGAGGCTCCATCATTTATTTTTGTCACTGCTTGCTAGACAGCAAAGATTAATGAGATCTGTCAAATTTGAAGCCTTTTCTTAAAGGTTCTAGTTATCTTCGTAAAATTATTAATAATTTAATGTGAGCAAACAAGTGTTTTATTCCACACGTCATTCTTGGTAGCAGCTGAATGGATTGTGCTAGCACCTTCCACTGCTAAAATTAATTGAAAGACATAATCTGGACAGGAAACTTTACCCAAAAACAGCATTTGGGAAAATAAGCAAATGAAAATTTACTTCTGTGATGAGGTGTTGGGCAGCTTGCAAAGTATATCTCTTAGTTTTACACATCTTACAATTAATAGTTTTTATTCCAGTTTGCCAAGGGGAAAAGTATCACTTCATGACATTGCTTAATTTACTGTCTCATCTTTCTTTTCACTTTTTGGAAATGTTTTTCCTCTTATAAGCATTTAAAGAATCCCCATAAGAGATTGATGCTCCTAACTGTTGGGTCTTTTCCTCCTCTATCTCAGGTTAACAAGAAATAGATTTTTTTTTTTTTTTTTTTTAAATTCCACATGAATTATTAATACAATAATTTTCTCTGACAGGTGCCTGTACATAGCAGAACAAGGGTGTGATTGTAATATGTTTGAATATAATCCTATGAACTTAATTTGCTATCGTTACTAGTGTTTGCTGGTTTAAGCCTCATAGGAGTTTTGGTATGTGTTAGAAATTAGATTACAAAAAACAGAAATACAAGGATCTTTTCTGATACTTAAAATATTCCAGTATTTATGCTGATGATGGTAGGCAGAAATAGACTACGTAAAAGAAACATGAGAAGAATAAGAATTTTTCCTGTGGGGAAGGATGGAAGGAAAATACAACACAAGATTAAGTTATTCTGTTATGCAGTGCTTCCAGGTTTCTTGGTGAAAGTCTGGGATTAATTGAAACTTCAGCCTTGGACTGATCTTAGTAAATATTGTATAATGAATTTATGTTGGTCAGCTGAGTTGCATTAATTAACTGTGTGTATGTGATGAGCTGATGGCAAATGCAAGGTAATATGAATTATCCTAGGCCTCAGTGAAAGGCAGCTACGTTGAGTTGAATCACTTTTAGTGGCTAAGATTAAGTCAGGACAACTCAGACTGATAGCAACACAGTCTGTTCTTGCTTCCACATATGTCGGAATAGTGTAACAACATTCAGAAAAGCTGGTAGAAAAAATTGAATCACTGATGTTTCCTTCTGACTAATTTGCCGTATTTTTTTTCTAGCGAAAATAACATGACATACCGTTGGGAAATTCAGCCAATTAATGTGCATTTAATGAAATATTTGAATACTTGAAGTCGCATCACTTCTGTGGTACTGATAAATTTTGGGTGATGGGTATTGAGTAAAAGAATTTCAGTCTGAAATCAATTTTAGATTGCTTAATAGTGGAATTCTAATTTGTGTTTGGAGCAACAGTATAATGTTAGTTTCATGGGTTGGTAATTGAATGGTTTCTCTTTTTATTATTTATTTCTCTTTAAATACTTTTGTTTTTCTTTCAGTGTTTTGTGTCCTACTTGCGTTCAGTTTACTTAATGAAGAATAAGGAAGTATTTGATGTTTTCAAATTGCCTCTAGCAGAATATGCCCTGTAAGTATAATCGACTTTGAAAGTGAAAACTGTATAGTGAGAAGTTTTGCAGTGTATATGATAGATTTAAATAGCTGTTTTGACTCTGTTAACACACAGAATTGGACAGTCTTGTAATGTATTTACAGCTTCATATTTATGCTGTGCTTTTGCATATTTTCAAACACATTCCAAATAGAAATTATGTGTAAAACCTATATATCTCTACAGAGAGAAATTACTCTTACAGCAGAAGGTACTTTTGCTAGATAAAATAGAAGACAAAACTTGTGAAGTAAAAGGATAGAGAAAATAGGGTTGGGTTTGGTTTTTTGTTTTTTTTTTTTTTTCTCCCCAGGTTTGCCCTTCAGCCTCATAGTTAAATGCCAACCTATAAAGTGTATTATTTAAAAAGAAATTGGACTATCTAAAAATGATATATTGCAGTCTCATTTTGAGTGTGATTGGGACATTGCTCCTTGGACATAAATTACTTTTCAGAAGATTCAGTGTGCTTGGTAAAGATGAAACATCTGCACTGGACTGAATAGCATCTATTTTACTATGTCTATTTTTGTACATATATGTGAACCATTCCACATCTTGTATGAGAGGGAAATTAATTTTGACAGGTTGACTTTACAGATGACAACCACCTGAGATTGTTTTAAGACGTGAAGTTTTCAAATAATCTCATGGGACATAGAGTACTCAGAAGGGAGCAGGAAGGTACTCAAAGATGCATGGTAAATTAATTTTACGTCTGTGGAATTTCATACAGAGAAGACTTAAGTCTTCCAACTTGTCAGCACGTGGCATAATGAACTAAAATGTGACAAATTACTAGACTGTAGAACACCTGGTCTTCCTGTGCTCTGCTGCAATTAACGTGATTATGTTTTTAAGGTACATAAGCCTATTATAAAAGACGCTTTCTTACTTTATGGACTGAGAAATTTTTGAAAAGGAGAACTAGCAAAAACTTGAAAAATTTCACTACATACATTGCCTGCCCCTTCACGTGTGTGATTTGTCAGCATCTTTAAAACTTTATTGAGGTTTTACTATGCTGAACGTAAGGGGTAGTGGCAGAAGATGGGGACTAAAAGGGATGACCACACAAATTTTAACTAGTGTGTTAAGAAACCAACTGACAGGTGGTGGTAATGCTGAATTTTCAGAATCCCAGTGCCTCTTTCTGGATTTCAGCATGGTGTGCCATCTAGTATCTGATACTGATGTGGACAGAGGAGTCTACAGTTCTGTTCTCAGGCCTTTGTGCCAGGATTTAGTCCTTCATCAAAGTCAATTCTAATCCCAACTTTGAAAAGTTACTAATAAGTCATTGCTGTATTAAAATGGAAGAAACTAGACAGTTGTTTGGAGAGAGTAGGAGAGGTTTAGTCAAGACTCTGAAATATATGGAAGCATAATCAAAAAGTCAGAAGATAATAAATCTGTGAGATAATCTGGAGATTCTGCTCTAAATGAACAGTTTGTTGGCACTCTTCTTCCACGCTTTCCAGACTGCTAGTCTACCTAAATACACCCTGCAGTCCCCTGGCTTTCAATTCAGTGCATATCCACTGATACTGTGGATCAGTCACTTAATTTATGTGAAAAGCCCTCGAAGTCTGGTATGTTTGAATTCTGCATTCAGAAGCAACCTTGGTTTACGTTCTGTACACAAACTCGTGGCAAAACCTGGAATGAGAATCCTTTCTTCCCTTTACTTTCTGTGTGTATTCTCTGAAAAGTATTTCAGCCTTTCTGTGGAGATTTACTGCTAGCTTGATAGATGTTACTCCACCAGAAATCCTGCAGAGAAAACAGGCTGTTTAATGCCCCTGTCAGGTTTGCATTTCAGGCTGTTGCCCACCATCTCTCTTGCCTGGCATGTCTGTGCACTGAGAATCTCTTAAGCTCTGTTGATTGAGTCTGCAGAAAAGCTGTAGTCTTTTTTGTTTTTACATATTATATAAAATTATTATACATAGAGAAAACAATATAAAAAACGAAAAGTGTGTGTGTGCATTTCTGTACATGTATACACATATGTATTCTAGAGATTCATCACCTTTAAGCTATGGTACAATAGTATTCTCTCCAGTATACTCTCATTACAAATTGCTATCAAGAATAATTTGCTGGAGGAAGACTTGCAGAGGCCTTGTCTTAACATAGGCAGCATTTAAGTTTGGTAACGGAGAACCTTGATGCTTGCATAAAAGAGAAATTTTTCGTTGCAAAACACAGCTTTGAAAACATAAGAAAATGTAAACAAACAACAGGGTGGAAAGGGATAATTAGTTAGTCTGGTCTCCTGGATAGGAGATAAGGTAAAGAGGAGGCAAGGATTTGAAATATTTTACTTCTCAGGCACTTTATTTTGTTAAATGCTAACATATATGTCAGTCTCCAGGGGCAGATTGTAACAGGCGAGTGTGCTGGATGGACAGGTTAGTCACAGCTCTGAGGGGCTGCCAAGGAAGGTAATTTCTTCTATGATTTTTGTCATGTCTTCCAGGAGGAATGCAGCATATTTTTCTCTGTTTATCCCTGTATTGGTACATAGAGAATAAATAAAGCAGGTTGAATCCAAGTTATTTGGGAAATGTCTGATACACACAACTTAGTACCCAGCTAGTTTTGCAAGTATTGCTTACAGATCAGTGTTACAAAGCAGTAGGTAGCTGCAGGTGCTGTCAGGTCTGAAATGTGCAATACCAGGATGCATGATCCATCTGTCCACATCTGTCTGTCCTCTCACTGACCAGGGAAAGCACCCACTGCACCATTACCCCACCCCAGTCCCCCTGGCTGTGGATGTAGGCCTGACCTTACTGCATGGTCAGGGCAGAGGGTTTGGTTTGTTGTCTTGCTCCGGCTGCCCTGAGCAAGTGTGGGGCTACCCGGCACATCCCCCAGACAGCGCCCATCACAGGCTTTGTACATCTCATCTTCCCTTTGCTGGTTCTTGGCCCTCCTTCTCTCTGCCCTTGAACTTCCTTTTCTAGACCATAGTCTCCTTCCAACTAAAAAGCCTGCCCCTAATTACTTTCTCCCAGTTGTTTCCAATCTTCATACACATGTAACCAAACTTAGTATTTCTCATGCTGATACCTAGTTAATCTCAGCCTCATATGGTATTACTCATACGGACCTCAATATTCCCTCCAGTAATCTGTGGAGTTTTGGCATTTCTCACGCAACTCCCCCTCAATTACCTGGAGATCCAGCCATCCCTTTCTGAGCTTTCTGTAACTACTTCTGTAAGCTTCTGAGCTTTCTGATCCTGCCATACAGATCTCTGAACAAGCTGCAGTCTCCTCTCTCAAAGTCCAGGGTCATCATCCTCGTTTCTTCTAGGATCTTGAACTACCTTTTCTCATTGTGCAGCCAAGCCTGCTATTGACCTTCACTCACCTTAGAAGTAAATGTACTTGCATGTGCATGAGTAGCAGTTCCAGTAGAGTGCCTCTCAAAGTTAGCTAATCCAGTTAACTTGGAGAAATGGTCTTTAATGCACTCTAGAAATCTCTGTTGCTTATGCTTTGCTGTGTTGCCCTTTGAACAGGTGTCAGGGTGGCTCAGGTACCAAGAGCACCAGGGCCTGCAACTGCAATGTTGAGGCTTCTTTTACTTTTGTAAAGAAGGCTACATCTCGGTGTTCCAAATGATTGGATTCCAACCATGACATCCTCTTTGTTGGCCTTCTCTTTGATCCTGACCCATAAACTCTTGATTAGGTTGGCCCTCCTTATTAGTAGAGTACCATGCATTTGAGCTCCTTAATGTAGAGGGCTAAAGCTGGCTAGTCAAATAAATAGCACAGCAAAAGCAATTTCTTTGTTTTGGTTATTAATCAGATCATCTGGAAAGCCTGTTAATTCAGACTTGTGTCACTTCAGTTGATTTGATTTCTCCTGTTTTCAAATGGTTGCTCATCCTGTCTTCTGAAAACATTTTAAATGTTAAATGTAGATGTAGCATACATTGCTGCAAGGCAAGTAATACACATTTCTTCTCTTGAAATAACTTCTGGGAGTATTTAAACTTTTTCAAGCTATTTTAAATTTTTGTCTGAACCTGTTCTACAGTAAAAGAAATCACTGTGCTGTGTTTTTATGTGTTCAAATCATTCTGAAGAAGTTCACTAATGGAATACATCTTATATTTAGTAAATGTAGTAACTTAATATTAGAATGAAGCACTAACTTGTGTAAAATTGTTGTGCAGCAGTTCTGCAGAAGTGACCTCAGATTCTTTACAACTGGCTCATATTTCAAAAAGGACTGGAAATCATCTAGGTGCGGATTAGGAACTCTTGTGACACTTAAAAATTTAAAGATTGTACTGGTCTTAAATTTCCTGTTTAATTTGTTTTGTGCAAGGACAGATTTTGATCTGAGTATCTAAGATTCTGTCTTTTTAAAGGGCTAACAGATTCACAGCTTTTCACCCAATCCAAATAGAGGCATAGTGAAGTTTACATTAACGTGTTAATGTAAACATACTCAAGATCTTTATATGAGCATAATTAACAAACCTCAGAAGAGGCAGTATTTTATGTCTGATACACCATTCGTTCGAATGAATTTTTAAAAATGTTTACTAATTTTGATTTTCCGTATTCAATAGCAAACAAAAGTGGTGTTCTTCTTAAAGCTGTACAGTGTTCCTTCTTTGGAGTTTTACTCTTTTAACTTATTTCCTGAAAGTCGTTGTCAACTTGCTTTGAATTGGAGGAGGTACCTGAGCATTGTAGCTATTTTGTTCAGTTAATTCTATGCATTCCCTGATCAGTGTTAGGCAATGATGATGTCTGGTCGCCTCAGTTTCTGTTCATGAATAGAACTGTCAGCTATACTGTCATTTTTAGTAGAAAAATAATCCATTGGTTTCAGTATTGCTTTTAGAAGCTGATTTAAAAGGTCTTTCTGTAAGAGCTTTCTCCCAAGAAGTCATTGCATTTCACACCAAAATATGAAACAGGATTGTTTCTTGGTTTGTCAGCTGAATTTGTGTTGCCATTTTAAGGCTACCATAATCTGAGGACTACATTGTGGTGTTAGCAAGTTTTTAGTGCTCTCTTGTTAGAATTTATGAAATCTCACTAAATACCTGCTTTTTGTCTGTCTTTATGAGAACCTTGCGCATTTCTTATTCCAGAAGATTGCATGAATGCTAGCACTGAAATCAAAGAATAGCTGTAACTTTAGTCAGAGTAGGATTCTGATCTGAGTGGCATCTAATGCGTTAATGAAAACTAATTCTGCCCTTTCTAGTTGATGGAAAGAAACGCTGGTTCATATGTTCAGGTTTTTTAGTATAACTGAACTCTGGATTTGGCAAATGATTAAGAAATAGATTCTAAAGAAACTGTTGAATCTTACAATATGAGGAAACTTCTAGTAGTAGTAGAATGTGTTTGTCCCAAATTGTTCTCCGTTTGGAACATACTATAGAAAAGAGGCAGTAATGAGCCTCTTTGCTGACATTTCTTTGAGAAGTTGTGTGATTAAAAGTGTTTGGGGATTGTTTGTACACAACTTTGTTTAAGCTTGTCTACTATTACTTTCTTACCAAATTTGACCTTAATACCTTTCCTCTCTCTCAAGGCTGTATTCTTTTGGTTCAGATGTCATTTGAATTCTGATAGCACTGGTCTTTTTTGGTAGGATTGCTAAGTAGTGTAGAAAAACTGGCCAACGCTAACTGATAATTAATTTTATGCAATTATTAAAGTAAGACATTAGTGCAGAACAGCAATCTGGCGGGTGGGATTTCATATTTGAATGAGAACAGCTGTGTTGAAGTCTCCTCCACAGCATGGGCTGCTCTTTTTGACGTTTTTTAACTTTTCCTGTTGAGAGAGTAGTTTCTTCACTTTGTCAAACTTTTCTCTACAGCCATGATCCTGATCTTTGATACTAGCTCTGGAGACATAGAAGAGAAGCTGTGATAAAATTGGAGTTTGCAACCCTGTGTACATTGTGTCTGTCTGCATGAGAAAGAGAAGTGAACACAGATTGCATAGTTGCCGTACAGTACTACTACTTGCCGTACTTTATCAACAGTTGACAGCAACACTTAATGTAGAATAATGTTGTGAAATCCGGAAAAGCAAAAAAGTGTTTCTCTTGCAAAGGATTTTTTTTTGCTATTTTGATCCCCTTGCCAAAGAGATTGCACATTCATTGACGTTGCAGCAATCTCTTTATACGTGTTTTACCGTGCCTGGTGTTAAGGCCCAATTCCGGGTTTGAATCTCCTCCAGCTGCTGCAGTGAAGCATTACATCTGCTTTGTTTGGTTATTTTTGTTTCAGTTAGACAATAGACCAAACTTTAACACATAGTTTCATTGCAAAGGTAATTAGTGTTAGCTGTCAAACACTGAAACAAGTTTAACATTGCTGGTTGCTCCAATTTCAGTTCCCAAATATGTTGTGTTATCCTCTCAGCAGTGCACTATCAGTAAATGTGCAAAATACATTGGATAGAAACTTACTTTGATCATTTTTTCATAAAACTCTATTTGCTTTACTATTGCGGTTAATTGCTTGTAGAAGAACAGTATTGGGTTATCTTAAACATACTTAATATATCTTATTATCTTAATATACTTAAACAAAATGAACTTTACATTAAAATTAAGGCTTTATTTATTGAAAAACTTGTTCCTCGTCCTAACAGTGTGAGCTGCTTTTTGGGTGCCTGTCCACTTTTCAGTGTTTTAACCTGTGGCCAGTACCAAAACTGCCCCGTTTAACCACAGGTCTGGTTGTGTTTGGGTTTTTTTTTTTTGTTTGTTCGTCATTTAAGCAGGGTGCCTCTCTTGTTGACTACTCTGTCCCATTGGCTACCATTAACAGTTCAAGGCTCTCCGGGGCCTACGGTCCACTCTTGCTGCTGTGCAGTACCGTTTGGATGCTTCATGGACTGTTTATAAGGACATTTCCACCAGGGAGTATAGATTTGATTTTTCTCCTGTGACATAACTCAGGTTTCTTTATTCAGAGCTGTGTGGTGAAAAGAAGACGTAATGCTGTCTACTTGAAATAAGTAGCTTTGAGAGGAGAGGTGGTGTATAACTGCGTAATCTGAATCGAAAGAGACCGATCTTTTATACGTGTGTGTGCACGTGTACATGTGTAGCCATTTTAGTTGGTTAAATACTTTACTCCCTTGCTAAGTGTATGTACAAGCCCTGAGTATTACAAATACTATGAGTTCTGTATTGTGTGTTTTTAAATGTAGCTGTGGGCCTCTGTGTGTTCCTTGTACAGTACCGGTATCCTCCCACATTTTTTTATTCACCTAATGAGAAGGCTCATGAACTTTGAAAGAGACTTAAATATTGCTTATTTGGATTTGGATTTGACAGGGTCAGGTGTAATAATAGTGGGCAATTATGAAGTTTACTGAAGTCAAATGATCTGTTGGAGACGGGGTACCTGTTCCCATGCAATGCTCTCCAGAATTTTTGCTATACAGTATTTTTGCTTTTTGGCTAATTTTTGTCCCTTCATGTATAGAGTACTAGTATAACTTTGAATTGTCATGAATAACTAGGTAAAATAATAGTATTGTCGGCACTGCTAGCTACGTATGCCGTGAAGGTAAAGCCTTGCTGTAGAGGGATGCAGGTAGGTGAGATTTCCTTTGAGGGAGAAGTGTCTCTCTGCCTTAGCTTTTTCTGCAATTAGTCATTTATCTGTACTGAGTTTGTTCTTCTAATCTTTACATCACCGTGAGATGGGGTAAATGTTCTGGATGCACTGCTAGCAGTGAAGGACACTGACAGAGATCAGTGCTATCTCAGTCCTTGACATGACGTCTGTATATTTTCAATACCAAATTACATTTGCGTTTCTTCCACCATATTTTACTGTGAATCATAGATAATTTGCTCTTCTCTACAGCTGTTCAGGTTCTTTGTTTGCTTTCTTTCCTGGGAGGATTTGTAACTGTTCTTGAGAGTTCTCAGTTATTTCATCTTCTTTCCTCTCCCAATGTTCACTTGCATTTTTCAAGCTAGATTGTCCTGTTGTAGGCTAAATACTGTTTTGTAAATATGTTGGTTGAAATGTATCAATATGAATTACCATAATTAAAATCGAATCACTTGAGCCATCGATGAGCGCTTCTAATTTAGTCAAATTTTGTGTATCTGCCTTTCAGATTAATTTATGTTTAATTCCATGCTTTAGATCACTTGGTCTTGCAATGGCACCTCGTGTGAGATTTCTTCAAAAAGTTCGCAAACAACTGTGTGCGAATGAGGCAGCTGATGGGACGGATCACTTGAAGGAGACAGAGCAAAATAAAAATACCCTCTCCTCAATAAACAAGGAAGGAGTGGAGAAATGCGGAACTAATTTCACTGGAAAGGTGTCTGTTAACAAAACAAGGGAAAAGGAGAGAAGGGAAGAAACTGAGGAATGTTCTGCTTCCAGTGAAGGGGCTGAGGAGACTGATGAGTCTGAGGATGAATCGAAAGAGGTATCGGAGGAGGAGGAGGAGGAAAAAGAAGTTCCTGTACCAAGCAGGGTTCCAAGCCCAGACTCCATGCAGTTCTTTGAAGATGACGACGATGATGATGATGATACTAAAGGTCTTGATTTGCTGACAGTGAAACGACGGAATGTTTTTGGTGTGGAATCTAAAGATAATCCAGCACCGGTAAGTTCACTTTATAGTAACATTTATGAATCTTAATGATTTTATATTAGACATACTCCAGGTAAGGAGGAGGAGGAAGGAGAAAGTTCTGCTTTTAGCAGATGTCGTGGTTTAACCCCAGCCAGCAAATAAACCCCATGCAGCCGCTCGCTCATTCCTCCACCTCCAGTGGGATGGGCGAGAGAATCGGGAGGGCACAAGCAGGAAAACTTGCGGGTTGGGATAAG